GGGCCGAGCCCGGGCCGGCCGCTCGGCCGCGGCCGGAAACCGCGGAAAACGGTCACCGAGCAATATCCTGATCCTCGGTTACTCTCGACCCCAACTACTTTCTCGGCGGCCGAGATGAAGTATCGACGTATGTGGTAAGCGGCTGGATAGGCCTGGCCGGCGTCGCCGCAGGAACTCGACATGCGCCCGCGGTCGAGGAGGGGGGCCTGGGGCATCCATCAGATGTCAACCGAACGAGAAACCATCGGCCAACGTCCAGCCCTGCGCCCCCTGGGCAAACGCGGCAGGATCCGCGGGAGCTACCCTCCCCCATGTACGCCTCGGCGGCGCCGGGCCGGTGCACGGCTGACAACGGGCCGGGAGCTTGCTGCAACTGCCACGAGGCACTCTCCCATGGGGGAGGGCGTGGGGTCGCTTAGGCTGGCTTGCGGGGCGCCCGGCATTCGAGTTCGAGCGTAGCTACTTATCTTAGCCGCCGGGACGAGCGGACTGGGTCCTCGTTTCAACGCTGTGCGACGAAGGTGCGCGAGGGCGCGTTCATCCTGGAGCAGTCAGGCTGGTTTCTTTCCCCTTTCCCCGGACGAAATACATCTACGAGCGGCAAACGAGGAATGACGCAACACCGGCCAGGGCCCACGATTTTGGGTGTCGGGTGCCCGTCCCCGAGGTGTGTGCTCGGCCCGGTCCATCTCGGCGCCCTCACGAGGCATTCGAAGCGCACTACGCGCGCATGTACGGCCGAACGTCCTACGGACGTGGGGGTGGAAGTCATCCAACTGGCGCGTGGTGGCGAGGGGGCCGGAGAGCCGCCCCTCAAACTTCTCGGACCGCGGCGGCACATGCGGCCGGAAACAAGGCGGAAAAGGGCAACCGCCCGCCTGTTCTCGCCGGCCCGGGGCCGATTTCGTCGAGACACCGCTACGACCGCGACTCCTGACGTCGGGCAGACCTTTCCGGGGCCCGGCAGTGGAATCAAAGAGGGGAGCCACGCTGTGGTGACGGCCCGCGTGCGACGCCCGTTGACGATTATGTGAACGGATCGCATGATAGTTCGATTATGAATGATGCCCGCCATCGATCCGGTCACCCCGAGGTCATCTGGAACCGGACTTCGGTCCGTGGCCAACGAGCCAGCAGGACGCGCTCATGCGACGGCTCAGCCCATCGTCGCGGGAGAGCCAAGGACCTGGACCTGCAGGCAATCTTCGACACAAAGGGCCGTTATGGTGGCGCAGTCGCGTGAGCTGCACGCGCGGCCACATCAACGCCCATGGCACGTCCATGGGGGCATTTCCTGCGGAGTTAGTTACCGGCCCGATACGCCTGCGTACGGTGATCGTGCTCATCACCAACGACCCTGGCAGACGCCGGGAACACGTCAAGACATCACCATCACACGACGATCTTACAGGCCGCGGTTCGGCTTGTGAGTTCTAGCCACTCATCTGCCACGCCGAGGACATCGGCGGCCGCATCCTTTCCGCGGAGGCCCGGGAGGTTTACGAGGAGGGGTCTTCGGATCCCAATCATGAAGCTTGCTTCCACGCCGGCGAATCCGACCCCCATTCATGTTGAAGATGGTCCGCGCCCAAAGTCCGGTGCCCACGAGGGTGGTGAGCGATCATACGCAAAGCGTCCGCCTGACAACAGACGCAGGCGGACGCGCGCTCATCGAGACCCATGGACGAGGTTCGACTGGAACAGCTTCGATCCCGTGGCCGAGGAGGATCATTGCGGCCGTCTGGAGAAGGCCCAGTGCAGCGCGGCCATGCCGCGTCGAGGACGGCGATGGAGGAAGTGTTGGCGACTGGAGCGACGGCTTCGAGGAGCCGATCCTCATCAAGACCAAGCTGGAGGTGCGCGGCGACGAGATTACATTCACTCGACTCCCGGTCTTCGCCCCAGAGCCCCCGGGGCATCAACGTGGTGATGAATAACCCACCGCTATGCCAGCTTAGTGGCCAAGGCGGCATTTTTACCCCGACGTGCCGCACAAAGAGTGGGAGTTTCGGCCCGTTGCACGTGAGCGCCCCGCCGGCAGCATCATGAACGCCAACGAACCGGTGCCGTGGCCGGACGCGGGCAGACAAGGGGCCACCTTCGTGCCCACCGCGGGGTGTCAAGGCGCTCGCCAAGGCGCTTACGGGCAAGCTCATGGCGCACCAAGCGCGAGACCCCATCTGGATCACGCGTTGTGCGCGGGGACAGGCCCAAACCGGCCGTTCAATACTCCAACGGTGTTCCCAGGTGGGCGGCACGGCCCCGACCACCAAGGACGGCCTCAGCGACGTCGTTTTACCCAGCGGCGGTGGACGGCGTTGCCCGCGGAGGTCATCGAGAGCCTGTCGCCGCTGGTCATGCGCCGGCGCGAGCTCCGCGGTGTGGTTAAATTCCGGCGCCAAGGCATCTGGGCGGCGGCCTAGGCAGTTCACCGAGTTATTCGCCAAACCCGCTGCCCATGGCCAGTGGAGAAGTCAACGGTATTCTCGACGCACGCGTTTACGCGGCCCTGGGACTCATGGGCGGCGGTCCGGGTTCGCGGCGAGAGTGAATACCTCGACGGCGGCAGCTGCCCCCCCAAAACCCAAGGCGACAGACCCATCCTCGAGGGGACCGCAAGCGTCCATAGTGAACCACCCCCGGCGGGCGGATACGGGCGAGCCTTTCAAGCGCGACCTGGAGCGCTTCCGCGCCGACGTCGTCTCGGTTACATCACCCCGAGGCCGCGGCCGGGGGACTAGTCGCGTGGTGGGGCACTTCAAACGGCGGGGGGGGGAAGACGAAAGGGTGCGGCGCCGGAGCAGGGGGTGATCGACGAAGCAATGACACCAAGGAGTTGCGGGAAAAAAGCGGTGTATTTGATTCCGTCATTCTTTTTCTTTCGCCCAAAGCGAACCTAGGCTGTTGTTTACAAAAGACTCTGTCAATTGCGCCGGCCGAGAGATAACATGGCGCCCTTCGACTTCGCTACGCTACGCCGTCAGAGCTTGTCGAAGGGCTCAGGGCGAGCGAACCGGGTTGATTCGGCCTCCCTTTTAACCGTTCGCCATGAGCCCTTCGACAAGGCTCAGGACACGCCCCGGCGCCTAAGTTCAGACGAGCCGGGCGCTGGCTCCAAGGCGGAGACGGCACAATTGATCGATGTATTCCTGAACTCGGCTGTTTTCGGAGGGGCTGGACTTCGGAATGTTCATTCCCGCGAAAGCGGGAGGGATCCAGAGGGGTTGTAGGGGATTAGGACGGGATCATGTTCTTCTGAACGCAGCCACTCGGACCGGGGCGGCCACCCGTCCGATTGGGCGGGCGACGGTCTGGAAACTGGCCCGAGCCGGGGCGGCGGTGGTCGGCGGGGGTTGGCATTCAACTACCGGTCAGCCGTGGCAGCGGGAGTCTGGCGGTGAGGGGGCACTTGGGCGTGGAGGCACTTTCGTCGTGCACGCGGGGGATCGTAAGGAACGACGCGCTCCGTGCGCGACCTGTCGTCAGACGGTCGGCGGTTCGGGCGCATGGACTCCTTGGTGAACACGCGGGCTATCACCGCTGGGTTCCGATCACGGACATGGAGGGGGCGTTGACCGACGAGATCTGGGAGCATGACCCTGGACGTCAAGTGAAGGTCGCGTTTCCGGTGTGCCCGGGCGGCGGACCGCCAGTGCGGAACCGAAGGCTGCTGTCTAAGGTGTCGATCTCCGGCGGTTCCGACGCGATCCACCATGTGTCCCTAGCTACGGCCACCGCCAAGGGCTATCTACTGAACCGCGGGCTTGCCGTGGGGCGATGGCCACAAGATCCGGGTAATGCCCGTAGAGCCCGCGTTTTAACGACACCAGTGGAGCGCGATCACGCGAGGATACGACGGGATTCGGCGCGCCCGCCAACTACCGCTGAGAAGCCGCTGGCGACGCCGGAGAGGTGGCGGCAGCCATCCTGCAGATCACACAGGGCCGGGCGACGTTTCGTCACGCCAGACCCGCGATTGGTGGACGGCGGCTGAGGCCTGAGCTGAATCGAGCAGTGAGATCTAACCTCAGCTATGACATACAGACGACTTTGTGATGACCGCCATGCAGCACCGCCTGGTGGCGGTGGTGATTCGTTCCAGGACCGCGGACAAGAAGCGCTGCACACGACGAAGTGCGCGAGCCGGAGTACAATTAGTGGACGGGTGACTTTCACCGTCCCGGGCCGCGGAGCGTCATCCGCACGCATTCCGCGAGAGCGCAGGGGACGCCCACAGTGCGGCGCGGGCACAGTGCTGTCGAAGAGACAGGCGCGCGCACCGAAATCGACGCGGGCGCGCGGTTCATCGTGTCGCCGAGCCTGGAGCTGGACCTGGTGCCCATGTGCCGCGAGGCCGGGGTGGCGTCCATACCCGCCGGGGCGACCCCCACCGAAATCGTCCAGGCACTGCGCGCCGGCGCCGACCTGGTAAAGATCTTTCCTGCGGACTGCGTGGGCGGGCCGCACTTCATCCGGCAGATGCTGGGTCCTTTCCCCGACGCGCGGTTCATGGTCTCCGGAGGCGTCAACAAGGAGAACGTGTCGAGTACGCAACCCTGGGAGTCACCGGCATCGTTCTGGGCAGCGCGTTTTTGGCGGACGTCCTGGCTCGGGAGGGCCACGACGGCTTGGTGGCGAAGACGAAGGAGTTCGTGGCGCTGGTGGATGAGGCGTTGGCCGCCACCTCGACGGCCCATACATCCGGGATTCGCCCCCTTCCGACCCCCTCTCCCTCTGGGAGAGGGTCGGGGTGAGGGTGCTCCGGTGCCAGCAGCCCGTTGGATGAGCTACGGCAAAGGGAGGCCCAGGGCTATTGCGGCGCCCTCACCCGGCCTTCGGCCACCCTCTCCCAAAGGGAGAGGGGTTGTGTTTGGGACGAGACGTGGCCACCCTCTCCCAGGGGAGAGGGGTTTGATGCGGAACAGCAGCATGACGACTTGGGAAGCACAGCGGATGAAGGGCGTGCCGTTCTCGGGCATCCGGAAGATGATGGCCCGGGCAGGGGAGCTCGAGGGGGAAGGGAAGCCGGTGATCCACCTGGAGATCGGCCGGCCCGACTTCGACACGCCGGACCATATCAAGGCGGCGGCCAAGAGAGCGCTCGACGACGGCAAGGTCCACTACACCTCCAACTACGGTGTGCCGGAGATTCGCCGGGCCATTGCCGCGAAGCTGCGCTCGGACAACGGTCTCGATTTCGACGAGAACGGGGAGATCGCCGTCACCATCGGCGCCAACGAGGCGGTGTTCATGGCCGTCATGGCGTTCATCAACGAGGGCGACGAGGTGCTGGTGCCGGATCCCTCGTGGCTCAACTACTTCCATTGCATCACCCTGGGTGGCGGCGTGCCGGTGAGCGTGCCGCTGCGGGCGGAAAAGGAATTCCGCATGGATGCGGACGACGTCGCCCGGCTGGTGACGCCGCGCACCCGCATGATGGTGGTGATGAGCCCTCACAACCCCACGGGCGCCGTGCTCGACCGGGGGCACCTGGAGGCCCTGGCGGCCGTGGCCCGGGAGCACGACCTGCTGTGCTCTCCGACGAGATCTACGAGAACCTGCTGTATGACGGCGCCGTCCACCACAGCATCGGAACCCTGCCGGGCATGCGCGAGCGTACGTTGCTGGTGAACGGCTTTTCCAAGAGCTACTCCATGACCGGATGGCGCCTGGGCTACATTGCCGCGCCCCGGGTGCTCATGGATGTGCTCATCCGCGTGCATCAGTATACGGTCTTGTGCGCTACGTCCTTCGCCCAGTACGGCGCCGTGGCCGCCTACGAGGGACCGCAGGACTGCGTGGGCGAGATGCGGCAGGAGTTCGCCCGGCGCCGGGAGCTCATTCTGGGCCGGCTCCAGGCCATGGAAGGCATTGAGTGCGCGGTTCCCGAGGGCGCCTTCTACGCCTTCCCGTCCATCGGCGCCCTGGGCCGGTCGTCGGAGGACGTCGCCATGCACCTGCTGGAAGACGCCTACGTGGCCACCGTGCCCGGCAGCGCCTTCGGCCGGTACGGCGAGGGATACATCAGGCTGGCGTACTCGAACTCCTACGAGAACATCGAGGAAGCCATGGACCGCATGGAGGCGAGCCTGGCGAGGTTGTAGGGGCGGGTCTCGAACCCGCCCGTGTCGCGGCACGTGCCGTGCACGTCAACAGTGGCAGCCCGAGGACACCAAGGCAAACTGGATTTCGGGGGAGTTATGGCAAACATCGAACTGACGCTGGCATGTGAAGACTACGACCGCACACGGGCCATGAAGGACGGCCTGGTGAAGCCCGAAGGCATCGACTTGAACTACGTGGCCCTGCCGGTGGAGGAGATCTTCTGGCGCATGCTGCACTTCCAGGAGTTCGACGCCGCCGAGATGTCCATGGGGGCGTACCACGTGGACGCGTCCCGCGGTCATCGGCCGTTCATCGCCATCCCGGTGTTCCCCTCCCGCATGTTCCGGCACCGTTGCATCTTCGTCAACACCGCGTCCGGGATCAAGAAGCCCGAGGACCTCAAGGGCCGGCGCGTGGGCGTGCCGGAGTACACCATGACCGCGTCCGTGTGGGTGCGGGGCATGCTGCAGCACGACTTCGGGGTGGAGGCCAAAGACGTTCACTGGATCCAGGGCGGGGTGGAGCAGCCGGGCCGCAAGGACCGCGTACCCTTCGACGCCACCGGCCGGGGTCGAGATCGACACCGAGGAGCACCGGACCCTCGACGACATGCTTGAGAAGGGTGACATCGACGCGCTGGTCTCGGCGCGGATGCCGTCCTGCTTCGTGCGGCGCGCCCCCGGCATCACCCGCCTGTTCGAGGACTGCCGCGCGGCGGAGATGGACTACTTCCGCCGCACCGGGCTGTTCCCCATCATGCACTGCGTGGTGGTTCGCCGGGAGATCTACGAAGCCCACCCGTGGGTGACCCAGAACCTCTACAAGGCGTTCTGCCAGGCCAAGGACCTCTGTGTCGGGCAGATCTACGACACCAACGTGCTGCGCACCAGCCAGCTCTGGCAGTTGTTCGAGTACGAGGAGACGGTGGATCTCATGGGCGAGGACTTCTGGCCCTACGGCTTCGAGAGCAACCGCAAGACCCTGGACACCTTCCACTCCTATCTTCTGGAGCAGGGCGTGATCAAGAACCCCGTGGACGTGGCCAGCCTGTACGCGCCCAACACCCGCGAGGCGTTCAAGATCTGATCGTCGAGGAGCCTGCGCCGCAGTAGTCCGACGCCTGATGTAGGGGCGGGTTTCAAACCCGCCCGTGCCCGCATCGCGCTACCGGTTGATACAGGCGCATAAGTCATTGGAACGGCACGCCGTAGGAAGGGCGGACGCGGAAGTAGTCCTTGACGTGCTCGTTGGCGGGATGGCGCATGAGGTTCTCGGCGGTCCCCACCTGCACCATGCGACCCTCGTGCATCAGCGCGATGCGGTCGGCCAGCTCCAGGGCATCCTCCAGGTTGTGGGTGACGAGAAGGGTGGTGAGACGCTGTTCCTTGTGAAACGCGCGGATCTCGGCCCGGACCCTGCGGCGGTTGGGCGGGTCCAGGTTGCTGAGGGGCTCGTCCATGAGCATGATCTGCGGGAACGTGGTCATGGCCCGGGCCACGGCCACCCGTTGCTGCTGGCCCGCGGACAGCTCCTGGGGCTTGCGCGCGAACAGCCGTTCCTCGATGTTGAGGGCCGCGGCCAGGGGCCGGATGAGCTCGCGGATGGCGCCCACGGACCACTTCCGGATGCGCAGCGGCAGCGTCAGGTTGGCATACTTGCGGTCTTCGAAAACGCGCATGTGCGGCCACAGCGCATAGCTCTGGAAGATGAGCTGGACATCCCTTTGCCCCGGCGGCACGTCATTCACCGGCACCCCGCCGATGAGGATTTCGCCGGTGTCCGGGGTCTCCAGCCCGGCGATGATCCGCAGCAGCGTGGTCTTGCCGCAGCCGCTTTCCCCGATGATGACCAGGAACTCGCCCTGGTCCACGGCAAGGTCGAAGCCGTCCACGGCCGTCACCGACCCGAAACGCTTGCCGATGTTGCGCAGGACCAGATTTTGCACGCGGCCATGGTACGGCAACGGTCGAGGCAATTCAATCCGGTTTGGCGCGCAGCGCGGGGAAGGTGCCATCGCCGGGAATCGACCACCTGAGGTCCACACATGCGGAAGACCAGAGACACGATCCAACGCCTGATACGCGCCAGCATGGGCGAGGTCAAGGCTGACCTGTTGGTCACCGGCGGGCGCCTGATCAACGTCTACACCGGGCGAGGTGCTGGACGGCATGGAGATGGCCGTGAGCCAGGGGCGGATCTGTTACGTGGGGCCCAGCGCCGATCACACCCGCGGCGACGAGACCCGGGTCATCGACGCCCGGGGCCGGTGGATCGCGCCCGGATTCATCGACGCCCACACCCACATCGGCCACTTCTGCCGCCCTTTCGAACTGCTGCAGGCCTACGCGCCCCACGGCACCACCGCGCTCATGGCCTCCTGCGACGAGCACACCGTGGCCTTCGGCCTCACCGGCATGCGGCTCTTCCTGGACGAGGTCGCGTCCCACCCGTTGCGGGTCTACACCCTGATCTCCATGGCGGCGCCCCAGGATCCGCTGTTGTGCCGCACGGAGTCCCTCTCGGACCAGGAGGTGGCGGAGGCCCTGCGCGACCCCCGGGTGCTGGGGCTCGGCGAGGTGGTGTCATGGCTCCGGCTGGTGCAGGGCGACCCCGACCTGCTGGCGCGCATCGAGATGACCCTGGGCCAGGGCAAGATCGTCCACGGGCACACCGCTGGCGCCCGGGACCGCCGGCTCAACGCCATCGCCGCGGCCTCCGTGTCATCGTGCCACGAGCCTATCAGCGGCGAGGACGCCCTGGCGCGCCTGCGGCTCGGCTACTGGACCATGCTGCGCGAGGGCTCCTTCCGGCAGGACCTCGAAGCCACCCTCAAGCCGCTACTGGCCGCGGGCGTGGACACCGGCCGGTTGATCCTGGTCACCGACGGCATGGCCCCAGACGACGTGGCCGAGCACGGCCACATGGACCACGTGATCCGCCGCGCCGTGGAGTGCGGGCTGAGCCCCGTGCGTGCCATCCAGGCGGTTACGCTACACCCGGCCATGTACTCCGGCCTCGAACAGGACATCGGCGGCCTGGCGCCAGGCCGGTTTGCGGACTTCGTCCTGCTGGACGACCTGGACACCGTTCGGGTGGGACGCCACCTTCATCGGCGGCGAGTTGGTGGCCGAGGACGGCGAGTCGAAGGTGGATGTCGTTCCGCCGCCCTTCCCGGGAGACATGGGGCTCAAGACCGCCTTCCGCCTGCCCGGTGTCGGCCGAGGACATGAGAATACGGTGTGAGAGCCCTCACGCCCGCGTCCGGGTGATGGATCTCATCAACCAGACCATCACCCGGGAGCGCATCGTCGATGTGGCGTGCGCCGGCGGGGTCATCCCTGCGGACGTGGAGGCCGATCTCCTCAAGGTCGCGGTGTTCGACCGCCGGGAGGGCTTCAGCCCCGTCTTCGGCTTTGTCCGGGGCCTCAAGGCCGACATCGGCGCGGTGGGCACTACCGTCAACCTCGACGAATACACGCTCCTGGTGGTGGGCTCCAGCGACTACGACATGGCCCATTGCGCCAACCTGCTGCTGGAATCCGGCGGCGGCGTCGCGTTGGTGGACAAGGGTCGGGTCCTCGAAGAGATCCCGTTCCCCATCGGCGGCCTGTTCTCCCTCGAACCCTGGCGCGACGTCGGCCAGAAACTCACCGCCGTGCAGCAGACCCTGAAACAGCGCGGCGCCGAGTTTCCCAAGCCCCTCTACGCCCTCTGCTTCCTGACCTTCGTCACCCTCCCGGAGTTGCGCATCACTGGCCGCGGCTTGGTCCGCGCCAAGGAACGACGGATCGTTCCGCTGGTCGTGGAGTGACTGTCGGCGTCGCAATGTGCCGCGGCCGTTTAGATGTCCCCTTACGGGTTTGTGACGCAAAGCAGTGGCAGTGTCGGCTTGCACTTCCCTCAGGTTTGCGTTTCAATACGCCGGAATTTCACGTCCGTCGCGTGTGGCTCGATCACGGGACTCGTCGCGTCGTTTCTCACGGTGAACGCCTTTGCGAAAGGTATCGTGACCATGAATCCGACCTTATCTATTCCACGGCGTCGCGTTGCCGAATTCTGTAGAGAGAACGGGATCGTAAGGCTCGCAATCTTCGGTTCGGCCTTACGGGAGGACTTCGGACCGGAAAGCGATATCGATGTTTTGGTGAGCTTCAAGGAAGATGTCCACCATACACTATTCGATATGAGCCGAATGGAAGCGGAGTTGAAGGAGATACTCGGCCGCGAAGTCGACCTCGTCAGCCAGCGGGGCATCGAGTCCAGCTCAAACCATCTGCGCCGAAAGGCCATACTGGAATCCGCGGAACCGGTCTATGGATCGTGATGCTGTACATCTTCTCGATATCCTGGATTCGGCACGGAAGATTAAGACCTATATCGAAGGCGTAGCGCGTGACGAATTCCTGTGTGATACGAGGTTACAGGACTCCATCGTAAGGCGGCTGGAGATCATCGGCGAGGCGGCAGGCCGGGTCTCGGCAGAGTGTCGGGAGAAATACCCGGACATCCCATGGGCAGCCATCCGGGGCATGCGCAACCGGATGATTCATCGCTACGACGACATCGATATGGGCATCGTCTGGGAGACCGTCAGGCGCGATATTCCGCGTCTGATTCAGATGATAGAACCGTTGGCGCAGTCGGAGGCTACCTAGTGTGGTGTCTCACAAATACGCTTACGAATCTGCGGGTCCTTTTGGCCGTCGGCTGCGTTGCTCTTCCTCGCGTGGTAACGGCCACACGGGCGGGTTTGAAACCCGCCCCTACAAGTCATCGCGCCTTGCCGACGACCAAAATGCCCTCGCATCTTCATAACCGTATTTGTGAGACACCACACTAGCGACTACGACGGTCATCAACTGTCGGCCCGTCCGGATCAACACCCCAACCCCTGTCAGCAATGCGTTGCGGCGTCTGCCTCACTGGGACGATTCAAAGGTTCCCCGAACTCCCGCGAAGAAGCCGATGCCGGTTGTCCGGTAACCGGGCACTTCCTCGTAGTCCTTGTCGAAGAGGTTGTCGACCCGCCCGAAGAGCTCAATTTGCCGGGTTAGCTTGTAGGCACTGGCGACGTTGACCAGGACGAAGTCGTCCACCGTCACGGGATCCTCCGTTCGGTTGAGTTGTTTGCCGTTGTAGTCGATGCCGAGGTCGACGACGCCCTTGCCGTGGAGGAAGTTGTAGCCGAGGTTGACGCTGGCCAGGTGTTTCGCTCGGCGCGGGAGCCGTTGGCCGTTCGGGTCTTTGGCGTCGGTGTAGGTGTACTGGACGGACAGGTTGAGTCCTTCCGCCGGCTTCGCTTTCACGGTCAGTTCCAGGCCGCGAATCCTGGATGTCCCGTCCAGGTTGTCGTAGAAGTCGTCATTGCCGGTTTCAGGATTCTGAAAGTCGTATGGGGTGCCTGCGTCATTCCAGTAGATCAACTTCGTCGGCTGGTTGTTGAAATACGTCATATCCAGGGAGAGCCGATCTTCGAGAAGGTTCTGCCCGACGCCGATGTCCCAACCCTTGCTTTCCTCCGGCTCCACGTCAGGATTCGGGCCGACGCGACCGAATTGCTGAAACAAATGTGACAGAGTGGGATTCTTGACCCCGGTGCCGTAGCTGCCGTGGAACCGTGTTCCGCTTCCTTCAAGAACATGGGCGGCGGTGATCCGGTATGTCGTCGTATCCTTGAAGCGCTCGTTGTCGTCATAGCGAAGGCTGCCGGAAAGAAAGAGTTGATCCCAAAGCCCGATCTGATATTCGGCGGAATGGCCCTGGTTGGTGACCTTGGAGCGTGCGCTGCCGGATTTCTGGGAATCCTTCTCGCGCTCGGTGACGAAGGTCATGGCATGGGTCGCTTCGGCTACGGTCGACGTCTCGAAGAAGACGTTGGTCTCGTAGTCAAAGCGTGACTTTCTGCCGTCGTATTCATTGGTTCCCCACTGGCTGACGACGGTGCTTCTCTTCCGGTGCATCGCGGCGCCGAAAGCATGTTTCCAGTCTCCGTCGAAGAGGCTGTATTTCAATCGGGTCCGGCCCATGGCGTGGTCGGCAACCGTCTTGTCGTCGTTGTCACTCGGCGGATCATCCGTTTCGACTCTTGACTTGACGTAGCGTCCGAACAGTTCGAGATCGAGATTCTCGATCACATCCGCCCCGACCTTGGCGTTGTAGGTCTGATTCCGATAGCCGTCCTTCTCGGCTCCCGAGGCAACGGATATTCCGGAGGTCCTGAAGCCGGTTCCACCCAGGGAGAAGTGGAACCCGTCGCCACCGCCCCGCAGTCCGGCCGAAATGTTGCCGGTTCCGAACGAACCGCCTTCCACGGTCAGGCTCGCGGTCGCAGGCCCTCGCCCTCTCTTGGTGATGATGTTGATGACGCCGCCGATGGCGTCGCTGCCATAGAGCCCGCTCTGAGGTCCGCGGAGAATCTCGATGCGCTCGATGTCCGCGGCAAGCAGGTCTGCGAAATCGAACGTGGCCCCGGCGTTGCTGGGGTCATTGACTTTCACGCCGTCGATGATGACGAGCGTGTGCCCGTGCCCGGAGCCGCGTATTCGCACCGCGGTCAAGGTTCCCATCGTGCCCGAGCGATGGACCGCCACCCCCGGAACCTCCCGCAACAGGTCGGACACCGTGCGCGCCTGCTTGCGTTCGATTTCTTCCGCGGTGATGACCGTGACGGAGCTGCCGACGGCCTTGGCTTGCTGCGGTACCCGGCTCGCCGATACCACGATTTTCGGGGAGCTGCTCGATGGCTTCGCCGACAGCCGGCGTCGTCGGCGTGTCACTTGACTGGGACCGGGCAGCGCCCGGTTGAAGGGTCACGGAGATAAAGAGGGTGATGACACCCGCGGTCAGAAACTTCATGCCAATCTTCCTTTCCCGCGAAGGCGGATTGTTGAGGAAGGCGGACAGGTTTCCTGGCTAGGGCTTTCTGGCAGTCCGTGGGACTGCCGGCCTACTCGCCGCGCCTTCCCACCCGCCGGACGAGCAGTGGCTGGTGTCCTGTCTCGCAGACAGGACAAGTTGCGGTTTTCGTAGCCGTTACAGTTGCGGGGCAGCAGGGGATTCGCACCCCTTTCCCTGGCATCCGTCTTCAGGCCGTTCAGTATGGTGGATCCGTATCTCTTGGTTAGCGGTTCTCCTTCAGCTTGAACGCGACCGGGACCCGCACCCAGCTCGACAAGGCCTCGATGCCGCGCCGCGCCGGGTGGAATTTCCAGTGTCGGACCGCCTTCACCGCGGCGGCGTCGAGAATGTCGAAGCCCGACGTCCGGTCCACCGTGACACGGTCGGGAGTGCCCGCGGTGGTCACCCGCACCTTGAGGACCGTGGTGCCCTCCCATCCGGCCCGGCGGGCCTTCCCGGGATATCGGGGCTTGACGGTCCGCGCATAGCGGACCGGGGGCTCAAGCCGCCCGCCGCCTTGATCTCCCCGCTGTCGGGTGTTGCGGGCGCTGCAGCGCGAGCGAGGTGCGACTCATTCGACGCGCCGGCACCGTCCCGGTCGCGCGGCTCCCTTGCCGGGACAGGCGGGCCGGTGAGGTGGAGGTTGCCCGCGACCTTTGCTGCCGCTACGGGCCTTGTGTGTCTCGCCGGCTCGGGCCGGGCCTGGCGCGTCGACTTCTTCGCCACCGTCCGTGACCGCGTGGGGCTCGGCGCTTCGGGTAACGCCTTCACGACTTGGGTCCGGGGCCGCGAGGCAGCCTGCGGCCGCTTCGTCATTGGACGTGGTTTTTCGGCCTTGGCCTGCTGCGTCTTCACGGCCCTCCGGGGTGGTCCGTTTGGTTCTGAGACCCGGGCTTCGCTCCGCGGCGGGTCTACGAGCCGTACGCGTACCGCTTGAAGGGCGTTCTCCCCCGCGCCGCCGGCGCTCATGGGGAAGGGCACCCACAGCAGTACGCTATGGAACAGCGTCGAGCCCAACAGGCAATACAGAAGTCGGCGCATCGCGTTCTCGGCAATCCGGTATCGGTCAGGGGTGCCTTTGACCGGATGGATGCGGGAACGAACGCGCCTAAAGGATGATAGCGGATGGCGAGACCTCCTCCCTCCTCGGAGAGCATGGTTGCACTTTTCGGCTCTCAGGTAGGTCTCCTGGCTCATGGGCTGGTCGCATGGACCGCCTTGCCGCCTTCCCATTCCCGGTGGGGAACAGTGGCTTCAGGGCAAGGGTTCCCATTCACAGTGGCGGGACCGCACCGGATTTCAACCGGTTTCCCTGTTATCCCGTTTGGGACCTGAGAACCGGGCGGCCGGAATGGCCGCCCGTGTTCATGGGGTTCTATCCGTGGCCGGCGGCCTTGTCAAGAAGACAGGGCCGACTTCATGTCCTCGATATAGTCCTTGAATCCGTCCTCGACGCTGTACTCGGGTTCCCACCCGAGCATTTCCTTGGCCCGGGTGGTGACCATGGGCTGCTTCGAGGAGCGCGGCGGCTTGCCGGGGAGGATTTCCACCTCCAGTTTCGGCAGCAGTCCCTGGACCATGGCCACCAGATCGTCGAAGGTGATGACGATCCCGGTGCCGATATTGAAAGTGGTCTCCGCGGGGGTCGGAATGGTCGCCGCCAACTCGATGGCCCGGCCCACGTCCTTGAAGTAGACGTACTCGAAGTCCCGCGTGGATTCCTGCGGGATGTTGGCCACACCGCCCTTGACGCCGGCCTCCACCAGGTTCTGGAGCATCTCGCCGCCGGCGGAGCCGCCCGCGAAATGCCCGAAGCCGAACACGTTGGCCAGCCGCAGCACGACGAGCTCGAAGCCGTAGAGCCGCTGGTAGGCCTCCACCATCAGCTCCTTGGCCACCTTGGAGTTGCCGTAGGCGTTGCCGTCGCCGCGGTAGAATCCCTCCTCGATGGGGTCGTCACCTTCCATGCGGCGGTTGTATACGCCCATGGTGCTGATCTGGATCAGGCGCTTGACCCCGGTGAGGCGCACGGCCTCGGCTACGTTGACGGTGCCCATGACGTTGATCTGAAGGCCGCTGTACACCGGGTTGGCCACGGCGCCGCCGATAAGCCCGGCGGTGTGCAGCACGGTATCCACCTTGTGGGTCTGCATGGCGTCGATCAGCGCCGGCAGGTCCCGGATGTCGCGCTTGAGAACGGTGACGTCGGCGTCCCCCAGCTTCCGTTGCAGGAAGTCCATCTTGGGGGCCATGTCGAAAAACACGATCTTCTCCCCCCGTTGCAGCGCGCGTTGCGCGAAGGCGGTGCCCACCAGGCCCACGCCGGTAATCAAAGTGCTCATCAGAACTCCCTTCTCGTTGGGTCTTGTTGTCCAAGTACCTGCCCGAACCCCCGCGACGTGTCAAGGCGGCGGATCGGGATCGGGGTGGGTACGACGCCGGAAGGCCTCGCCGGCCCGGGTTCTAGGAGTCTTCGCCGCGGGAACCGGACATCCGATGTAGGGGCGGGTTTCAAACCCGCCCGCGCCCGCACTGCGCTGCCGCCCGACACAAGGTTCTAGGCCGGCCCGGAGACGGCCACGACCCAATCGTCCTCGATGCGCCGTACCGCGGCCTGCACGCCATATACATCGGCCATGCGTTCCGGCGTCAGCGTTTCCCCGGGCGGCCCGTCGGCGACGATGCGTCCCTCGCGGATCCAGGCCAGCCGGTCGGCGAAGCGCGCGGCCAGGGCGGCCTCGTGCAGCACCACCAGCGCGCCGTTGCCGGCGTCGGCGTAGGTCCGGATCAGGCTCAGGACCTGGTGCTGGTGGAGCGGATCGAGGGCTTCGGTGGGCTCGTCGGCTAGCAGGATCGGCGCTTCCGCGGCCATGGCCCGAGCCATGTGGGTACGGGACAGTTCTCCGCCCGAGAGCGTGTCGCACGGGCGGTCGGCGAGGGTGTGGAGGTCACAGGCGGAAAGCGCGCGTTCCACCGCGGCGGCGTCTTGGCCGCGCAGCCGTCCGGACGAGGCGCCGTGGGCGAACCGTCCAAGGGCCACCACGTCGCGCACCCGCACCGGCCACGCCAGCGGACGGGATTGCGGCAGGTAGGCGATGCGCCGGGCTCGCTCGGCCGGGGCCAGCCGGGCCGGGTCCTCGCCGTCCGCGCGAACGCTGCCACGGCTGACGCTTCACGAGGCCCAGAACGGCGCGCAGCAGCATGGTCTTGCCGGCGCCGTTGGGGCCGAGCAGGGCCACCACTTCCCCCGGGCTCACCCGCACCGACGCGCCGTGCAGCACCTGGCGCCGCCCGAGGGTCACGTCGATCTCGCTTACCAGGAGCTCAGCCACCAGGCACCCGCCTCCTCGCGGCGATCCACACGAACACCGGCGCCCCCAGCAATGCCGCCACCACCCCGAGCTTGAGCTCCGTGTCGGTGGGCGCCACCCGCACGCCGATGTCCGCCACCACGAGAATGAGTCCCGCCAGCAAGGCCGACGGCGCCAGCGTGCGGGCGGGGTCGTGGTTCACCAGGGGGCGCACCAGGTGCGGCGCGACGATGCCGACGAAGCCGATGGCGCCGGCGATGGCCACCGCCGCGCCGGTGGCCAGCCCCGCGCCCACCACCACCAGCCGCCGGGTGCGGGGCAGGTCGACGCCCACGCCCGCCGCCGCCTCCTCGCCCAGGGTCAGGGCCGAAAGGCCCCGCCGGCCGGCGAAGAGGATCACCAGACCCGCCACCAGAAACGGCGCCGTGGGTACGAGGTCGTCAAAGCTCCGGTTGGCCACGGTGCCCAGCATCCAGTTCAGCATGTCGGACAGGGAGAAGGGGTGCGGCGCGAGATTCATCAGCAACGCCATCATGGCGGCGGCGAAGCTCGACAGCCCGATCCCCACCAGGATGAGCGTCACCACCGAGCCCACGCGGGCGGCGGCCACCGTCAAGAAGGTCGTGGCGGCCAGGGCGCCGGCGATGGCGGCCACGGGCAAGGCGAAGCCGCCGGCGCTGCCGAGCCCGTAGTAGATGACGAAGGTAGCACCGAGGGCGGCGGTGGCGGATACGCCCAGGACACCCGGCTCGGCCAGGGGGTTGCGCAACAACCCTTGCAACGCCGCGCCCGACGCCCCCAGCGCCGCTCCCACCGCCAGCGCCGCCGCCGCCCGCGGCAAGCGGATCTCCCACACCACCACGCGGTCGCCGGCCGATGCGCCGCCCAGGAGGGCCGCCGCCACGCGGTCGACGCCGAGGGGGACGGAGCCCACCAGACATGCAGCGGCCAGGGCCACGAGGGTCGCGGCCGCCAGCACTACAACGACGCCGCGGTCGTTCATGGCGCGGCCCGGGTCGAAAAGCTCGTGGTGAAGGGCCGCCAGCGCGGTCACCGCGTCGGCCAGGAACCAGCCGCCGCATGACGTGGTGGCGCCGTCGACGGCCGCCGCCGGAACCGACCGCAAGGTGCGCCGGGTCACGGGATGCCGGAACGGAGTCCAGGCGTCATCGTGGTTGGTGCCGTCGCCGAACGTGGCCGCCGCGATCATATCCGGCGTCTCGTAAGCGAGGCGTTCGAGAGGAATCGGATGCCAGCCGGGCCGGGTCTCGAAGTTGTCGAGTCCCGCGGCGGTGAACAGGCCGTGTACGAGGGTGCGGGGGCCGGCGGTGTAGCCCGCCGGGGTCACATACAGCGCGCGGGTGCCGGGGGCGTGGACCCGGGCCGCCCGCAGCCGGGCGTCCATCTCGGCGATCAGCGTTTCACCGCGTTCCGCTACGCCGAGACCTCGGGCGGCGTGCCGGATCACCGCCCGGGCGCCGTCGATGTCGTCGGCGAAGGCGATCTGCAGCACCGGTACTCCGGCACGCTCGAAGAATGTCCGGGCCCTGGGACCGCCACCGTAGGCGCGGACCACCAGGTCCGGCCGGAGGGTCAGCACGTCCTCCGCCCGGGGGCGAACCGTCGGCAACCCGGCGGCGGCGGCGCGCATGTAGGAGAAGGCCGCGCCGGCGTCCGGCGACAGCGCCAAAATGTCCCGGCGGTCGGCGAGGCCGAGCACGAACTGATCGGCACAGTAGTCCAGGCTCACGATGCGGCGGGCGGTCGAGTCGGCGCGGGGCGGTGGGCGACTCGCAGGCGGCGAGCAGGGCGAACGTCACGAGCGCGGCGAAGTTCGCCAAAGCGGCCAACCGCCCCCCCAGCCGTCGGACTAACCATCGTCGCATTTTCTCTCTCTACGCTTAATTTTCTTCGGCCCTTGCCGAAAGGAGGATTCTGTAGCCGTGGAACCTACGCCCGGTGGTTGCCGCCGTCAAGCCAGCCACGTGGCTAGCCAAACCGTATCCGATAGGATACAATACCGAGGGTCAATTGGTTTCGATACGCCGGACCGAAGCGTTCACCATGTGGTTCAGAAAGCTACGTGATCCCCGAGCCAAGGCACGAATTAGTCTTCGAATCAGGCGGTTGTCGCTAGTGTCCTGTCCCACGTAATTCGTTACCAAGGTGCGCAGGATTTCTTGTTGTCGGCAAGGCGCGATGACGAGCAGTGGCGTGCACCACGCGAGGAAGAGCAACGCAGCCGACGACAAGAAAGACCAGCAGATTGGTAACGAATTACGTGGGACAGGACACTGGGCAACCCCGGGGATGTCCAACCAATTGGTGGAGGCGTTTCGGAACTACGTATCGACTACGGGCCAGGTTATCGCGTGTATTTTGTGCAACGGGAGCACGCTTCAGTAGTCCTTCTCAACGGTGGGGACAAGGGTACGCAAGAACGGGACATTGTTAGAGCTCACGAGTTGGCACGAAGCCTTGGGTCCTGAGGAGGCCACCATGATCGATACACAACCTTGGGATGCGGCGGACTACCTGGAAGAAGAGGAAGATGTCGTCGCCTACCTCGAAGCAGCGTTCGAGGACGGTGATCCACAGCTCATCACGGCTGCGCTTGGAGACATCGCCAAAATCTCGGGGAATGACCAAGGTTGCATCGAAGTCGGGTTTGGGCCGGGAGAGTCTCTACAAGGCATTGTCAACCAACGGCAATCCCAGCCTCGCCACTGTCCTCAAAGTAATGCAAGCACTTGGGCTTCGGCTTCGCGTGACGCGCCCGGTTCCGACGGCGTTGTAGGGTCAATTGCCCGAGAAGTACGCAAGGAGTCTCGAAGACGTGTTTGTTCTGCGCCAAGACCTAGGCCCGCAACGGACGCGCGGGCTGTCTGACAACGAGTTTGGTTGTTTGAACGAGAGATCGGCTAGCTAAGAGTGAGGGGAGAGATACTGCCGGAATTGGCCTGAATAAGCCGAAATAAGCCCGAATTGGCCCGAATAAGCCCGCGTCCCAGCCCTACAATTGTTTCCATCGCGCACCGCGACCGTGTCCGGTCGATGTGATCAAACCCCTTGCCTTCAAGGTACCGAGATCTTTCCTCACTCGTCGTTCGGCCGTCTCCGGCGCCAGTCGTGCGCAAATTTCGCGTAGCGCCAAGGCCTGGTTCCCTTGGTTGAGCAGCACAAGAATTGCCTGTTGACTTTCGGTTAGATTGTCCACGTGCAGTCTGGCGGAACCCAAACCGCTCCCGCGGAAGTGCGCGGGGATGCGGACGGGGGGTCTCCCGTGCCGCAAACGCACGGTCACGCATCCTCCCGAGTCTTCTATCTCTGGTGGCGGCAGACCGGCGGCCGTGGCCTCCTCTGCCATCTTGAGGATGCCACGCCCCCATACCTCGATGATGCCTCGTCGGTAAAAGGTGTTCGCGATCAGCGGATTCCAGGGCAGAGATTCGTGCGGCGCGAACAACGTCTCCGGTGTCAAGCCGAAGTGGAGAGTACCGGACGAGGTTACCTCCAAACGGTCATTATAAATCGCCAAACCGACCGATCCGCCGCCCAGGGAGTAGTCGCGGTGGCACAACGCGTTTGCCAGCGCCTCACGCACCGCCGGGATGGGGTAAAGTGGCTCGTCGATTCGTTCGAACCGGTCAGCTTCGAACCGGCTGGCAATGGGGTTGTTGTCACGTACGAAACGTTCTGCGGCCTTGAGCAGCGCGAAGGTATGGCCGCGAAATTGGCGGTTGTCGAGAAACTCGCTACGGTCGAGCCCGTCAAACCGCGCGACCCGGAGCAGGCACTGCGGCATGGCAAACTCGATCCGCTCTGTGCCGCCGAACAACACGACCGCGCCGCGCAGAAGCACGCCGTCCGCCCACAGGCCTAGGCCGCGAAGCAAGTCCTCCGGTTCCCTGGTCCCGGGATCATCCTGGCGACCCTGCCGGATCGCCTCCTCGATGGTTCGCCGAATCTCGGCCACATCGAGATCCGCTACCGACCATCCCACCGCGGGCTGGTTCTCCCAACGTTGGTCGCTGTGCATGCGTTCAAAGAGCATGCGGTTGTATTCGTCTGCGAACATCGGAACCGTTGTGTTGCCCACCCTGCGGTATGCCTCGTCGCGATACCGATAGGGTTTCGTGGTACCAGGACTCACGCGAACCACGACAACTTCCCGATCCCTCGCCAATGGGACCCGTTCGATCGACGGGAAGACGGGCGGGTCGATTCGTCTTAACTCGGCGCTTACCTCCTCGATGGTGCGCTCGCTCACCTGCTGGCCGAGCACCTGGCCTTTCGGGGTCACGCCGAACAGCACTTGGCCGCCGCGCTGGTTGAGCATGGCGCAAACTGTTTGCGCCGCCTCCTTGCGTTTACTCGTTCTTTCCTTGAACTCCACGGTCTCGGACTCGCCAGACGCAGCTAGTGCCTCAATCTGCTGAATGGTCATGGCTGGCCCCGCTTCGATCGCTGTCCCCCCTGGCGAAGGGGTTCGGGAGTCTGGCGACGATCTCGAGCGGCGACTCGGTGCAGGTTTCGTAACCCAGGTGCAGTGCCGCCAGCGCGCGCCCGGCCTCGGGGAAGGCGTGAAATTCGGTTCGAGGGTAGTTGTCTTGCAAGAGCACGGTGTCTTGAGCCGCCGTGGGAGTTGGGGAAAGTTCACTTCCTGAACGAGCCATATCAGGGGCGTTGTCCACCGTCAAACTGCGGTCGGATGAGGAGCGACGAAGGCGCTGGGTACTTGACCGAGTGTGAACTATGGTTAACACTCAGCGAGTGGTCCAAGTGATCGAAAGCGCCAGCAACGCGATATCGAACGCGCGAGACGGCTGGGGGAAGACTGGAGGCAGACATGACCGAAAGGTTCACGAAATGGGAGGTCACGGAGCATCTGCGTACCCGGGAAGACGCGTGCCTCTATCTTGAAGCATGCGCGGAGGAGGATCCGGGCGATGGCAGCCTGATTCGCGCCGCCCTGAACGACATTGCGCGGGCAGGGAACATGAGCCGGCTGGCCCGCGATGTCGGAATGAGTCGCGAGGGACTCTACAAAGCTCTGTCGGGGGACGGCAACCCCACTTTCGCCACGGTAGTGCGGATCACGCGGGCGTTGGGAATGCAGTTACGTTTTACTGCGTAGCGGTACCGGGGTCGCCTGAGATCATGCTTCGAAGGCCGGCCGTCGTGCCTGGTTCAGCGGAGAACCTTGTGCGCGGGGGGTATTTCGGCTATCGGAAGTTGGAATATGGAAGGGTCGGGGCGAGGCAACGGGGCTTTGCTGGCCATCACCTAGAAAGGACGCGTCCCATATGATCATTCCCACCGAACCCATCGGCAGCATTCCCCGACCCGGTTACCTCATCGACGCCATGGGGGCACACGGCGCCGGCCGGCTTGACGACGCGGGCCTGAGTCAGGCCATGGAGCGGGCGGTGGCGGAGACCGTGGCGGCCATGGAAGCGACGGGTTCGCCGGTCATCACCGACGGCGAGCAGTCGAAACCGAGCTTCGCCACCTATCCGCTGGCGGGTCTGGACGCTCTCGCCCCGGACGGTGTCGTAATCCCCTTCGAGGACGGGCACACGCGGCAACTGCCGCGGCTCACCGCCGGTCCGTTCCGCTACACGACCTATTCCGGAGCCTACGTGACCGCGGCGAAGAGGCATGCCAGCCGGCCGGTGAAGCAGGCGGTCATCGCTCCTTCGGCCATCAGCCTGATCTACCCGCAGGACGGCATCGACGGCTATCCGCGTGACGCCTTCATCGCCGACCTCGTGAACGAATGCGAAAAGGATATCCGGTCGGCCTTCGAAGCCGGCGCGGACAGCGTGCAGATCGATTTCACCGAGGGGCGGCTGTGCTGCAAGCTGGACCCGTCGCGAGGGTTGCTGCGGGCCTTCGTAGAGCTCAACAACGCGGTGCTCGGGCGGTTCTCGGAGGCGGAGCGGAGTCGCATCGGGGTTCATACCTGTCCCGGGGGTGACCAGGACTCGACTCACTCCGCGGACGTCGACTACGCCGAGCTGTTGCCCGATCTGTTCGCCATTCAGGCCGCCGGTTCTTCGTGCAGATGGCCAGCGAAGCGGACCGTCCGCGTGTGCTCGATGTCATCGCCCGGGAGCGGCGTCCCGGCCAGACGGTGTTCGTCGGCGTGACCGATCCCATCGACCCCCGCATCGAGAGCGCTCAGGAGGTTTGCGAGCGGATCCTGGAAGCGGCGGCACACCTGGGCACGGACGGGCTCGGATGCACCGACGACTGCGGCTTCTCGCCGTTCGGCGACGACGTTTCCACCGCGCGCGACACCGCCTTCGCCAAGATCCGGGCGCGGGTGGAGGGGGCCAGGCTCGCCGGGGACCGGCTGGGCTGAGTTTGCTGCCAACCGGAAGGTGACGCGTGTTCCAGGTCCCGCCCGTCTCCCGCGCGCTTGATGAGGCGATTCGACGCGCCATCGACTCGAAGACCAAGCCGCCGGGTGCCCTGGGTGTGGTGGAGGCCGTCGCCGCCCAGATCGCCCGCGTTCAGAATACCCTCACGCCCGAACTGCGAAGCTGCCGCCTGACCCTCTTCGCCGGTGACCACGGCATTGCGGCCGAGTCCGTCTCGGCCTACCCCCAGGCCGTGACCCGGCAGATGGTGGCCAACTTTCTTGCCGGCGGCGCCGCCGCCAACGTGTTCGCCCGGACCAACGGCGTGGAGCTGCAGGTGGTGGATGCCGGCGTCGCCGGCGGCCCCATCGAGGCGCCGGGCCTGGTGTCGCGGCGGATCGCGGCGGGCACGCGCAACTTCGCGGTGGAGCCGGCCATGACCGCGGAGCAATGCGAAACGGCCTTGCGCGCCGGCGAGGCCCTGGGCGTAGCCGTGGCGGCGGACACGGCGGCCTTCGGCGAGATGGGCATCGGCAACACGTCCTCGGCCACGCTGGTGGCCCACAAGCTCACCGGTACGGCCCTCGACTCCCTGGTGGGCCGGGGGGCCGGGCTCGACGACGCAGGTCTGTCACGGAAGCAGGGCATCCTGGAACAAGCGGCCCGGCGCACGGCGGCACCGCTCGACGCCCGTGACGCGCTACGGGAATACGGCGGCTTCGAGATGGTGATGATGGCGGGAGCCATGATGGGTGCTGCCCGGGCCGGGGCGGTGGTGCTGGTGGACGGGTTCATCGCCAGCGTGGCCGCGCTGGCCGCGACGGAGATGGCTCCGCCGCTGCGGGACTACCTCGTCTTCGGCCACCGGTCCGCCGAGCACGGCCACGGCGTGGTGCTGGCGGCCCTTGACGCCCGTCCGCTGCTGGAACTCGACATGCGCCTCGGCGAAGGCACCGGCGCGCTGCTGGCGTGGCCTGTGCTCAAGTGCGCGGCGGCCATGCTGTCCGAGATGGCGAGTTTCGAGAGCGCCGGCGTGAGCGGTCCGGTCTGATGCGCCGGGCGCGGGAAGAGCTCGCGGTGTTTCTCCTGGCGGTGCAGTTTCTCACGCGCTGCCCGGTGCCGTTCCCCGACCTCTTCACCGAGGCGCGCCTCACCGCCGCCACGCGATACTACCCGCTGGTGGGCGCGCTGGTTGGCGCGGTCGCGGGAGCGGTGTTCTCACTTGCGCACCTGGTCTTTCCGGTGACCCTGGCACTGGTGCTCGCCACCGCCGCATCGCTGTGGGCCACCGGGGCGTTTCACGAGGACGGGTTTGCCGACGCCTGTGACGGACTCGGCGGGGTGCCGACCGCGAGCAGGCGCTGGAGATCATGCGCGACAGCCGGCTCGGCGCCTACGGCGCGGCGGGCCTCGGGCTGATGCTGGCGGCGAAGGTGCTGGCCCTGGCCGCCGCGCCGGCGGTGGTCATTCCGTGGCTTCTGGTAGCGGCCCACGCGGCGAGCCGGGCATCCGCGGTGCTGGCCATCGCGACAGGCAGCTACGTCCGGGCGGCCGGCGCGGCCAAGCCGGTGGCGGACGGGGTGGCGCCGGGCGGCCTGGCTGTGGCCCTGGCGACCGGGGCCGTCGCCGTCAGCGGGCTGTGGATGTTCGCCTCGCCGGTGGTGACGATCGCCGGAGTGGCCGGGCTCGCGGCCGGGCATCTCGCCATGCGCGGCGTGTACGAGCGCAAGCTCGGCGGCTACACGGGCGATTGTCTCGGGGCCGTGCAGCAGACCAGCGAACTCGGGCTCTACCTGGGAGCGGTGGCGGTCATGTAGACGGTCGTTGATACAATGCAGGCCGATAATGTAGGCAGACGACACACCTCAGGTTCCCTTTGTGAGATGTTTTTTGAAGAAATCCGTTACGCGGTCGAGTGATGTCGCGGCTGCCTTGCTATCCCATCGCATGATTCGGCCGCGGCGGTTTCGGTCAACACCCTCCTTGTCGAATCCGTGGTGTGCGTCTTCCAGGAAGATCACGGTGGCGCTCGGGTAAAGTGTTGCGAAGTACCTGCACCTGTCCGGATCGGTGATGGTGTCGGCAGTTCCTATCAGTATCAACGTGGGAACGTTTTGGCGCCGTGAACTCCGGGTACAGCCGCCATAGATTCCCGCATAGGCCGCAAAGCCGTCTTCTCCCCACTTGAGCAAGTCACTGGCATTCCGCCCATCGGCAATGCCGAAGGCAACTGCGCCGCCGAACGACCAGCCCATGATCCCAATGCGGTTCCCATCGATTTCAGGACGCTTGCGGAGAGTACGCAACGCCTCGACCACGACGGGCACGAAGTATTTGCTGGGCGGGCGGTTGCGGCGACTTGTGAAACGCCGGACTTGATGTCGAGGGTGAATGTGCCGATGCCTTCATGGCAGAATCGGGACCGGTAAAGATCCTGGTCTTTGATCCACACCGTCCGTTCCGGGCACCATCAACACGATAGCGGACGGAGCGCTCGCGTCCGGCGACAAGAACAGCTCCCCTTGATATTGTCGGCCGTCCGGACCGGTGATCGCGATTCGTAACGCACGCGCGTGTGTGGCCGTAGAAGTGAGTCCCATCATACCAGCAAAATGACTGCCGTACTCAGCATCGTCTTCCTCCTTTCCCGGGAACGGTTTGAATCACGAATAGTTCCCGCGACCAGAACGTATTTGTCCCCACCTATGCGTTAGCCATCACTGCACGAGCCTTCGTAGGGGCGGTTCAAACCCGCCAGTGTCACGGCAGCGGCATCCCGGCAAGGAGCCGCGACGCAGCCCACAACCCTGCCATCAGCACGGCCAAAAGCAGGCAAGCGCCGACATAGACCCGGAGGCCCCGCCGGATATCGGCGGCGGTGGCTTCGATGCTGCCGTGGCCCAGCCACGGGTCGTCGGTCACAACCCCCTGGTATCGACGCGGGCCGGCCAGGCGCAGACCCAGCGCGCCGGCCATGGATGCCTCGGGATAACCCGCGTTGACCGAGCGATGGGTGCCGCCATCCCGCCACATGACCTCCAGGGCGTCCCTCGTGCGGCCGGCGCCCCGTTGGATACCCGATACCGCCAACAAGAAACCGGCGACACGCGCGGGCACCCAGTTGGCCACATCGTCCAGCCGCGCGGCGGCCCACCCGAACTCGCGGTAACGGTGGTCGAGATGACCGATCATGCTGTCCGCTGTGTTCAGGGCCTTGTATGCAACGATACCCGGGAGGCCGAGGATCAGGCCCCACAAGACCGGCGCCACCACGCCGTCGCCAAAGTTCTCGGCGAGGGATTCGACAGCGCTTCGGGCAACACCATGGCCATCGAGGGATTCGGGATCACGCCCGACAATGTGCGCCACCGCAGTCCGACCGGCTTCAACCCCGTCGCGCTCCAGCGCCCCCGCGACGTCGGCCACGTGGCGGTAAAGGCTGTTCTGGGCGATCAGCGCCGAGACCAGGAGGCCGCCGATGCCAGGCTTACATCCGGCGCGACGTCGGCAAAGGTTTCGTCCACCACCAGCCAACCTCCGCGCCGCGCCAGTGCTTCAGCGATTCCCGCCAGTGTCCCTCGGCCCGTGGTACGGCCGTCGGGATTGTTCGGGTTGACCACCACCGCCACGTCGGAATCGCCGCATTTCTTGAGTGAACCGACCTCGTCCACGGCGTGGCCCAGCCGGCGCCACGCCACGGCATGTTCTTCGTAGGTGGGCGCCAGAACGGCCACCCGGGACCGCGGCCTCATGGCCGGCAGCATCTGGAAGAGCGCCTGACTTCCCGGAGCCGCGGCCAGGCCGTTGGCCCGCGGGATGCCATAGGCGTGTCGGGCCGCGGCCAGCAATGCCTCCATCGCGTCATCCTGCGGCAGTCGGGTGAGTGTTTCCGGACGGATGATCCCGTGTGGATAAGGCCAGGGGTTGACGCCGGTGGAGAGATCGAGCCACCCGGACGGCGGCGAGCCGAATGCCCGTCGGGCGGCGGAAAGGTCGCCGCCGTGCCGTGGATGATAGGATCCTGGTTCCATGATTGGACCCTGCGCTACCCCAACCGCGCGCCGTCCGGTTCCTCTGGCGGCCCGACGACACACCGTGCCGCCGAAGTCGACGCTGGCGGTCCATGCGTCCGCGTGGCCGGCCTGCGCCCGCGCGGCCTTGATGATGCCGGCATGGGTTACCACCGCATGGGACACGCCCCTACGCCGGTAGTCGGCCAGGGCCGCGCGCACCCGTCGGCGCACCATCTCCACGCTCTCGCCGCCGTGGGGCCGGGCGTGAAAGAAATCCGCCGCCCATGCGTCCAGCTCGGCCCGGGCGATGGTCTCCCACGGCATGCCCTCCCAACGGCCGAAAGCCATCTCCCTGAGCCTCTCGTCCACCACCGGAACGAGGCCGCGGACAGCGCCGATCCGTTCCGCCAGCCGCATGCAGCGGCGCAACGGGCTGGTCACCAGCCGCTCCACGGCAGGCAGCGCCGCGATCACGCGCGCGGCCTCCTGGTCGAAGGTCGGCGCCACATCCAGGTCGGTGACCCCGTAGCACACATTGTCGGGGCCTGCAGGGTCGCGTATGGCGAACCAGAATCAAGCGCATGGTGTCGTCGTCCTCTCCCTAGTGTCCTGTCCGGTTAATTCGCATACCAGTTTGCTGGTCATTTTTGTCGTCGGCTGCGTTGTTCCTCCTCGCGTGGTGACCGGCACTGAGGGAGGGCGACAGCCAGTCGTCCCGACCCGTCGTCACGCCTTGCCGACAACAAAAAAATCCTGCGCACCTTGGCATGCGAATTGACCGGACAGGACACTAGTGTGGTGTCTCACAAATACGCTTACGAATCTGCGGGTCCTTTTGGCCGTCGGCTGCGTTGCTCTTCCTCGCGTGGTGCACGCCACTGAGGGGCGACCGCCGGTCGCCCCTACAAGTCATCGCGCCTTGCCGACGGCCAAAATGCCCTCGCAGCTTCATAACCGTATTTGTGAGACACCACACTAGCCAACGGGTGCGCCGGTGCGCTGCCCCATACGAGTCGGGCGCACGGGGCCGGACGGAAGGGTACGATAACCGCCCGTAGGGGCGGGTTTCAAACCCGCCCGCGGGTGGGATGTCTTGTCGATGCCGGTCCCTACGCGGCCGTGGCCAGTAGCCGGTCGATGTCGATGGCCTCCTCGAACGCGTCGGCTACCGCGTCGAGCGCCTCGTCGACGGCGGCTTCGTAGGCCGGGCCGAACGCGCCGGTGACCCCCAATGACCGCAGGAACTCGCGGCGGAACGCATCCCCGGTCAAGAGCCCATGGACGTAACAGCCCATGAGCCGACCGTCCTCGGAGACGGTGCCGGGATCGTGGCCCTGCCCGTCGGGCAGGAGGAACGGCCGGTGGGCGCCGCGGCGCGTGGTTTCGCCCACGTGCATTTCGTAGCCCGTGAAGGGGGCGTCTATGGTCTTTCCCACGCCGGCGACCTGTCGGAGTGTCTTGCCGCCGGTGAGCACGGTCTCGTGGTCCAGGAGGCCCAGGCCCGCTTCCTCCCCCGGTGGTCCTTCGATGCCCTGGGGGTCCGCCACCGTTCGTCCGAGCATCTGGTAGCCGGCGCAGATGCCCAGGATGGCGCCGCCCCGGCGCCGGTGGGCCATCAGGTCGATGTCCCACCCCTCCCGCTTGAATGCCCGCAGATCGGCAACGGTGGCCTTGGAGCCCGGCAGGATGATCAGGTCGGCATCGCCGGGCAGCGGGTGTCCCGGCGCCACCATGTCCAGCCGCACCGCCGGCTCGAGCATCAACGGATCGAAGTCGTCGAAGTTGGCGATGTGCGGCAGGCGGGGCACGCGGAAGTCGCCGCCGCCGGGAGGCGTCCTGCGATTGTCCAGTGACAGTGCGTCCTCTTGGGGCAGGCGGAGGGCGGCGGCCAGGTACGGGATGATGCCGAAGGACGGCAGGCCGGTGCGTGTCGTGATGGTGCGTAGCCCGTCCGCGAACAATCGGACATCGCCGCGAAACCGGTTGATCAGGTAGCCCCGCAACAGCTTGCGTTCCTCATCCGGCAGCAGTTCCCAGGTGCCCACCAGGTTGGCGATGACGCCGCCCCGGTCGATGTCCGCCACCAGCACCACCGGCACCCCGGCGGCGGCGGCGAAGCCCATGTTGGCGATGTCGTGGGCTCGCAGGTTGACCTCGGCGGCGCTGCCCGCGCCTTCCACCAGGACGAAGTCCGCATCCGCCTTCAGCCGCTCGAAGCTCTCCAGGACCGCCGGCATCAATTCCTGCTTCACGTCCTGAAAGTGGCCGGCGTCGAAGTTGCCGCGAACCTTGCCGTGGACCACGACCTGCGCCCCGACGTCCGACTGCGGCTTGAGCAGAACCGGGTTCATGTCCACCGACGGCGGCACCCCGCAGGCCCTGGCCTGAAGCGCCTGCGCGCGGCCGATCTCGCCGCCGTCCGGAGTCACCGCCGCGTTGTTGGACATGTTCTGGGGCTTGAACGGCCGCACGGCATGGCCCCGGCGGGCGAGCACGCGGCAAAGGCCGGCGGTCACCAGCGACTTGCCGGCGTCCGAGGCGGTTCCCTGGAACATGAGCGACCGAGCGGCCATCAGTCCGGTCGTGGACCCTTGATGGCCATGGGGATGCCGGCCGCCACGAAATAGACCTGGCTGGCGGTGCAGGCCACGGCCTGGTTGAGCCGTCCCGCATAGTCCCGGAAGGCCCGCGCCATGGCGTTGTCCGGGACGATGCCGAGCCCCACCTCGTTGGCGACGAGCACCACCGGCCCGGACGCCACGGCAAGCGATTCGAGCAGCGCTTCCCGGGCGGCGTCGACGTCGTGGCCGTGATGCATGAGGTTGCCGAGCCAGACCGTGAGACAGTCCACCAAAAGGCCTGTTTCCGGTGCGCTCTCCCGCCGCACGGCCGCGGCCAGCTCGACGGGTTCCTCCACGGTGCGCCAGTCGTGCTCGCGCCGGGCCTGGTGCAAAGCGATCCGTTCGGCCATCTCGTCGTCGGTGACGACGGCGGTGGCCAGGTAGACACGTTGATTCCAGCTCTTCGCCAGACCCTCGGCGAAAGCGCTCTTGCCCGCCCGGGCGCCGCCCAGCACCAGGGTCACGCCGGAGTGTGTCGCCGCCGTGCTCACGGGTTAATCGTCCGGGTCAAGAGGTCATCGTCGGCGTGCGGCAACGCCATTGCATCGTCATCCGACATGTGGACCATCATCCTACACAGCGAGCGAACAGAAAAGAAATGCGCCGTGCGATTCGGTGCCGACGGGAAACGGCACCAAGCCACGGTCTCGCTGTCGGTACAAAATGATAGTGAGGTCCCGAACCCGCAAGTCCCGCGAAACAGGCCGTGTCAGAACCCCTCTCCCTGGGAGAGGGTGGCCGAAGGCCGAGCGACCCGTGCCCAAATCAACCCCTCTCCCTCTGGGAGAGGGTGGCCGAAGGCCGGGTGAGGGCCCCCAATAACCCTGCCGCTCCCATTCATTGCCGTTGACACCGGCCTGCTTGCCACGAGGTTCCCTCACCCCAACCCTCTCCCAGAGGGAGAGGGGGCAGTTTTGACACGGCCTGGAAACAGGGTGTGTCAAAACTCCATCCCAGGGAGGCACAGACCCCCGAAATCGTCATTCCAGCGGAAGCGGGAATCCAGGAGGGGTGGAGCGGGGAAACGCCGCTGTAGCACCCTCCACCGCCTCTGGATTCCCGCTTCCGCGGGAATGACGGAAGTGTGCGTGAATGATGGTTTTCAAAACGAGGGGAGGCACTCGTTCTTGACACCCCTACGCCATTTCCGTATTGCTGAATCCCACGGAGGACGCCATGAGAAGAACCCATGACATGGGCGGTGACCCGGAGGCGGGCGCCATCGACCGTTCACAGCACCCGATGGACGACTGGGAGATGCTCGCCGACGCCTTGAACCAGGTGCTGGGAGTGAAGGGCATCAAGTGTACCGACGAGACCCGGCGGGCGCGCGAGGACATGGATTCGGAGGAGTACCTCTCGCTCAGCTACTACGAGCGCTGGATCGCCAGCCTGGAGACGATTCTGGTCGAGAAGGGCTTCACCACCCGGGAGGAGATCGACCGGAAGGTGGCGGAGATCGAGGTGCAGTGGGGCGAGCCGTGAGCCTGGAGTCGGGTTTCAGGGAAGGGGTGGCGGTCCGGGTGAAGTCCCACTTCAAACCGGGCCACGTGCGCACGCCGTTCTATATCAAGGGCAAGACGGGTTGGGTGGAACGGTGCTACGGCGAGTTCCGCAACCCGGAGTCCCTCGGCCACGGGGGCGACGGCTTGCCGCGGGTCCGGCTCTATCTGGTGGGCTTTCACCAGAAGGACGTGTGGGACGGTTACGACGCCGTCAGCAACGACAAGGTTTTCGTGGATATCTTCGAGCACTGGCTCGAGCCCGCCTCCGAGGCGGGCGCATAAGCTCCCTGGGAGGAAGAATGGCACACGAGCACGGTCCGGAAGAACAACACGAAGCGGGCCCCAAGCATGAGCTGAGCCACTGGGCCAAGCGGGCGTACGCCATGCGCGACATCCTGATCGAGAAGGGTGTGGTGACCGAGGAGGACATCCGCCAGCAGGCGGAGTTCGCCGAGTCCAAGACGCCGGCCAACGGCGCGAGGCTGGTGGCCCTGGCCTGGACCGACACGGACTTCAAGGCCCGGCTCATGGCCGATCCCAAGAAGGTGTGCGCCGAGATGGGCATCGACGCCAGCACCTTGAACGAGTTCGTGATCCTGGAAAACACGGACCGGGTCCGCCACATGGTGGTGTGCACCTTGTGTTCGTGTTATCCGCGCCCGATCCTCGGGCGGCCGCCGGACTGGTACAAGAGCTTCAACTACCGCAAGCGGGCGGTGAACGATCCGAGAGGGGTGATGCGGGAGTTTGGGCTCGAGGTGCCCGGCGACGTGGAGGTCCGGGTGCACGACAGCACCGCGGACATGCGTTATCTGGTGATCCCGGAGCGCCCGGCGGGGACCGAGGGCCTCGGTGTCGAAGAGCTGGAGAAGCTGGTAACCCGGGACAGCATGATCGGCGTGATGGACGCATTGCCCGCCGTTCCGTGATGAAGACCCTGACAAGGAACCACCATGTTTCATGTTGATTTGTCGCCGTTCGGGGTGGATGTCGAGCGGTTGAAGTCCGACCGCTTGTCCCGCTTGCAGGGCATCATGCGCGCCCGCGGTCTGAGCGCGCTGCTGCTGACCGATCCGTTGAACATCCGCTACGCCACCAATACGGTGTTGTGGCTCAATCTCCGGGCCACCGGGGTGCAGCGCTTCGCGTTGGTGCCGGCCGACGGTGAGCCGGTGGTGTACGAGCGCCTGATGGGCAGCGAGCGCGCCGCCGGGCTCAAGAAGGCGGGTCCGGTCCGGGGCTTCGGGGCCTACATGTTCGGCATGCGGCCGCCGGTGGCCACCGAGCACTTCGTCGACCTCGTGGCGGACGGGCTGGCGGACATGGGCCTCAACGGGGAGCGCGTCGGCATCGACGCGCTGTGCCTCACCGCGGTGGAACTCCTGCGGAACAAGGGGTTTGCGATGGTAGACGGGCTTCCGGCGCTGGGCGAGTCCCGTGTGGTCAAGACACAGGACGAGGTGGAGCTCATTCGTTGGACCAGCCGGGCCAAGGAAGGCGGCTATGACCTGGTGCGGGAAGCCATCCGCAAGCCGCCGGTGTTGGAGAGCGCCTCAGCCGCATGATGCTCGAATACCTGCTGGAGCAGGGCTTCGAGGCCGGCAGCGAGTTCATCTCGATCTTCGATTCCTCACAGATGGCGATACGGCCGCATCGCGAGCCCATGGGCATGGACCTGGTGATGACCGAGGGCGACTGCTCATCTGCGACGCCACCGTGTCCGGTCCCGGCGGCTACTACAGCGACTTCGCCCGGACGTTCTGCCACGGCACCCCCTCCCAGGCCGACAAGGACCGCTATGCCGAGGCCTACGCCACGCTGCAGGAGGCCATCGGCTATATCAAGCCCGGTCCGTGCACCGCCCTGTTCGAGCGCTTCGGCCAGACGTCCACCTCTCGCCTCCCGGGCCTGGACGGCTTCCACGGCGTCGGGCATGTGCATCTACGAGGCGCCCTGGCTCCGGGGCTTCGACCCGCCGGAGTACGAGCTATCCCTGGAAGAGAACATGATCGTCGCGCTGGAGATCAACCACCACCCGGTGAAGCTCGAGCACCTGCTCCGGGTCACCGCCGACGGCGCGGAGATCCTCTCCACCTATCCCATGGAGCCGGAGCTGGCTCCGGCGTAGTCTCTACGCCCAACAGATGAACAGTACTGCGATTACGGCCTAACAGATGCGGCGAGCGCTGACCAAGGCCAAGTCCGAGGGTAGACAGACAGGTGAAAGGGATCTGCCGAAAAAGGAAGAAAGTGTAAGGGAGAGACGACTGGACAGGTGAGGCGTTTAGTTGTGTACCATCGTGTGTCTTCTTCCGCTCGCTAGTGGCTACGTTCCGCAAACTCGGTAGATGACACTGTTTTGTAACTCTTCCACCAGTTGCGCGTCCAAGGCAAAAACACGATCGAACTTTTGCCAGCTACCGGTTGCATCATTGCTCGAACGTGTCGTCGAAAGGACCTTTATCTTGTAAACTAATGGTTCCTTGGAGGAAATCGAGCCAATGAATTGCGTTCGAACCACAAACGGGCCGTCCGGACCCTTCGGGAACTCTTGAATCTTCGAGGCGCTACGGATGTATCCCGAGCTTTGATCCAGTTGTTCCAGCGTATCGTATACCGTCGTTACCGAATCGACGATCTTTTGCCACGCCGAGGCCACATCGAGCACGGGGTCCACCTGTAGACGCGAGCCACTGTTAGGTGCCGCTCACTCTCGTCCGTCACCTTCCAGGCGGGGTTTTCGTCCAGCGTCACATGAAAGGCCCCTGAAACTACGCCGTCACTGGCCTCGGTGACGATGCCCGTGCGATCAAAATAGCCCGTTTTTGAGAATTGGATGGCGTAACGGCGGCGTCTATCCGTGAAGTCGAAAGTGTATTCGAGAGGGGTGTGTCCCAACTCCTCATCCTTTGCGGTTACCCGCGCCGACCTCGGCGTAGACGTTATCAGTACACTTCTCCTGGACGGCTCCAGGAGGAGGTTCACCACGCCCGACTGTTGCTCGACTTCGTCAATAACCGTCTGAGAATGATATCCGTCCTTCGTACCAGTAACGGCATATCGTGAATTGTCCTTGGGGAAACCGAAATCATGTGTTAGGGGGTGTTCAACGTTCGTCTTGGTTGGGGTGGGGTTGGGGTGGGGGGTGGTGGTGGTGTTTTGTTTTGGTGTGTGTGTGGGTGGGTGGTTGGTTGGGGGGTGTGGGGTGGGGGGGGGGGACCGTCCTTCGAGATGGGTGGGTGTTGTTTTTGGTGGGGTGTGGTTGGGGGGTTGTGTGTTTGTCGTGGAGACCGAGCGGTTCGGGCGTTGCCCTTAGCGCCCGAGCATCTTCTCAACGAAGAACTCCGCCGCCTTGTAGGAACTGCGCACCATGGGGCCGGCGGCAACGTAGCGGAAGCCGAGTTGCATGCCCTGTTCTCGTAGTCGCGAAAACGGTCCGGGTGCAGAACTCGGCCACGGGAGGTGCTTCCTGGTGGGCTGGAGGTACTGGCCCAGGGTGAGGATGTCCACGTCCCGGGCGCGCAGGTCGCGCATGGTCGCGAGCACTTCGGTCGGCCGTTTCGCCAAGGCCGAGACAGAATCGCGCTCTTGGTGTAGATGCGGGGGTCCAGGCCTTGACGTTGGCCAGGACCTCCAGGGTCTGCTCGTAGCCGGAGCGCCGGTCCCGGGCGTAGCGGGTGAGGCGCCGGACGGTCTCGATGTTCTGGCCGATGACCTGCGGGGCGGCGTCGACCACTTTCCGGAGCGCGTGGACGTCGCCGCGGAAATCCGGGATCAGCACCTCGATGATCAGCTCCGGGCAACGGCGTCGGGTTTCACGGATCGTATCGGCGAAGATGCCGGCCCCGCCGTCGTCGAGGTCGTCGCGGTCCACGGAGGTGATGACCACGTAGCGGAGGTTCATTCGCGCCAAGGCTTCGGCCACGCGTGCGGCTCGTCGGATCGACCGGACGCCGGCCTTGGCGGTCTTGACGCGCAGAAACGGCACCCGCGGGTGCAGAGTGTCCCCGAGAATCATGATGGTGGCGGTGCCGGACTGCCAGCACTCGGCCAGATTGGGACAGCGCGCCTCTTCACACACCGTGTGCAGGTTCAACCCCGGAAGTTGTCCTTGAGGCGGTTGTAGCCGGCGCCGGACGGCAGACGGACCTTCAGCCAGGGTGGCTTGTGTCCCGCTTGTACGCGTGCGTTGACTCATCATTTCCAGACTAACCCACGTCTTGCGAAAAGGCCACCGGCCTCCCGGTGTAGGCAGGGCACATCCCTCTCCGTCATTCCCGCGAAACAGGCTGTGTCAAAACGCCATGCCAGCGAGGCACAGACCCCCGAAATCGTCATTCCGGCGAAAGCGGGAATCCAGGCGGGGTGGGGCGGGGAAACGCTGTAGCACCCTCCACCACCCTGATTCCCGCTTCGCCGGAATGACGGAGGGGGACGGGATGACGGTGTTGGCCTTTCGTCACCCCTGCGAAGTTGGCCTTTGACCACCACCCTGTTTCGCGGGAATGACGGAGGACGGAGCCTCACTGCCATGAGAAAGGTGCGGAGGTGCTCCTCCAGGGGCCACGATCACGGCTCAGGGCGTGAAGTAGCCTCCGGCGATGGCGTCGTGCCAGAGCCGGCACACCGGAGGTACGATGCCGCGCGGGAGATCGTCGTACGTGAGGCCCCAGGTATGGATGCCGGCGCCCAGGGAGACGCAGGCGACCTTGGGCGCCGGGTCCATGGCCGCGTACAGGGACAGGGAGCCCTGGCACCGTTGCAGGGTCACGGTGTCGTCGTCCAGGCCGTGGAGCGAAAGCACGGGCGGAACCGGCTTGGCATCGGGGCCGGCGAGCTCCCGCAGGTAGCCGAGATAGCGGCTGACCAGTTGCTGCTCCTCAGCCGCTCCCATCTTGAGGCGCCGGGCGGTGACGTGGGCGGCCTGTTCCAGCGCGGCGGCGCCGTTCTTGTGGACGAAGTCCTCGGCCTTGAAGTTGGTGCGTTTTTTGGCCACTTCCCACTTCTCCATGGTGAGCTCCATCAGCATGGGCAGGCCGTAGCCCTTGTCCTTCAGGCCCTCGTAGAGGTAGCGGGCGGTGTCGCGCCAGGTCCGCAGCCGCAGGTGGTTGAAGGGGAATTCCCACTGATCACCGGTGGTCGCGGTGTAGATGTAGGCGAAGGTCGATGAGCCGTAGCCCAGCACCCCGGCCACGTTGGCCACGCGTTGGGCGGTGATCATGGCGAAGGGTCCGCCGGTGGAATGGCCGTGGACGTAAAGGGAGTATTCGGACTCGGGGAACTCGCGACGGCAGGTTTCCCGCAGCGCTTCCTCGAAGGCCACGGGCCACGCCGCCATGCGATAGTAGAACTCGGTTCCCTCACGGGCCACCAACGAGATGACGGTGCCGTAGTCGGTGCGGCGGGCCTCATCCCGGGCGACATCGTACTGGTCGGGCGTGATGCGGGTCTCCCGGCTCCATAGCGGCGTCCGGCCGGTGCCGTCGGGCTCGAGGGTGTCGCCGGGCCAGTCCCTGGAGGGGTCCAGCAGGTACAGGCGTCCGGGAAAGGTCATCAGCGTGACCTTGAAGCCGAACTTCGCGGCCAGCATCCGCGCCACCGGCTCAAGCGACTTGTAGTCCGACGTGCCGCCGTGCAGCAGGAAAATGCCCGCGCGCCTTCCGTCCGGGGCCTTCGGCACCCGGGCAGGGTCCTCGGGGGCATAGGTCATGGTGCCGATGTCCCAGTCCATGTCCAGGGCCTGGATTCGAAAGATGTCCTCGCGGTTCCCCACCGGTATGTCGGGCAGGTCCAGGGTCTCCCGGGACAGCCTGACGACCTCGGAGCGGGGGATGGTCTTGGGTGGCGACCAGGCGCCGTTGGGTTCCGTCATTCGTAGTTCTCCGTTCGTTGTCATAGACAGGTCCACACTTGACCCGTCCGGTTCATTCGCATGCCGAACCGGAAAGGATCGGCACGATGTCGCGACGAGGTGTAGGGGCGGGTTTCAAACCCGCCCGCGCCGCCATTGGCATGACCCAGGACACTTGGTGGCGGCCACGGGCATTCAGATGCCCAGCAGCCCTGTCTGGCCGTAGTAGTAAAACCCGGCGAGGGCGCCCGTCATGAGTGTCGCGAGGGTGGCGCCTACCAGGGCGCGGATGCCCAGCGAGGAGAGGTCGCCGCGGCGCGCGGGCGCCAGGGCGCCGATGCGGCCGATGCCGCCGATGCCGCCGATGAAGATCCCCAGGAGCCAAGCCAGCGGTGTGAACAGCCATCCGAGGATGCGGCGGAGGTCCACGGGTGCGGCCAACATATCGCTTAGCGGAGCCGTCACCTTTATCAGGCCGTAGTCGATGAGCGCCACCAACCCGAGGATGGCGATGAGCAGGGTGGCGATGCCCGCGGCCAGCTTGAGGCCCTCCCAGGAGCCGTCCATCAAGGCGGCCATGGGCGGCACGCCTCCGAGGGTCGCCGGGACCTCGGTTTCGGGCAGTATCAGCTTGGACGCCAGCGCCGCCGCCGGAATGGACATGATCGAGGCGGACACGAGGTGTCCCGCGATGAGGGGGAAACTGTCCTTGAGGAACAGGACGTAGAGCGCCAGCGTCGTGGACGCCACCGTCGCCATGCCGCAAGTTATCAGGGTGAGCAGTTCGGAGCGCGTCATGCGGTCGACATAGGGGCGGACGGTCATGGCGGACTCCACGCCGATGAAGATGTTGGATGAGCCGGCCAGGGACTCCGCTCCGGAAAGGCCCATGGTCTTGTGGAACAGGACGGCAAACAGCTTCACGATGGGTTGCAGGATGCGGAGGTGATAGAGCGCCGCCATGAGCGACGCGAAAAAGACCACCGCCGGCAACACCTGTGCAGCCAATATGAAGCCCACCGACGGCGACCCTCCCGCGGTGGTCTCCCCGGGGTTCAGGGCCAGTGGCCCGAACAGGAAACGCGCGCCCTCGTTTCCCGCGCGGAGAACGGTGATGACGGTGTCGTTGACCCAAATGAGAGCGATGCGGGTCCACGGAATCCAGAACACCACCGCGCCGAGGACCAGCATCAGGCCCCCGGCCGTGAGTACCGTGCGCCAGGGAACGGGACGCCTGAAACCGCCCGCGGCCCAGGCCAGAAACGCCAGTGCGATCAGGCCCCCGAGGGAGCCGAGGTTGAGCCAGGTCATCTTTACTCCGTACATGTGGACGCGCTTCCGGGCCGCCTGCGGCTAAGGGAATCCACCCGGAGCATGTCTGCGATCCGGTTACTCGGACAGGCTCCTCGGAGCTTGCGCCCCAGGAACCTGACATCCGATGTAGGGGCGGGTTTCAAACCCGCCCGTGCCCGAATCGCACTGTTGGCCGATAGAGGCTCCTAGTGTGGTGTCTCACAAATACGCTTATGAATCTGCGGGTCCTTTTGGCCGTCGGCTGCGTTGCTCTTCCTCGCGTGGTGACCGCCACACGGGCGGGTTTGAAACCCGCCCCTACAAGTCATCGCGCCTTGCCGACAACCAAAATGCCCTCGCATCTTCATAACCGTATTTGTGAGACACCACACTAGCAGGCTGTGTCAAAACCCCATCCGAGAGAGGCAACGGCCCCCGAAATCGTCATTCCCGCGAAAGCGGGAATCCAGGCGGGGTGCGGTGGGGGAACGCCGCTGTAGCGCCCCTCCGCCGCCCCTGGATTCCCGCTTTCGCGGGAATGACGGAGGGGGACCGGAATGACGGATTGGCCTTTGCTACCCGGGAATGGCGTTTTGACACGGCCTGCTAGCGGGACACGACATAGCGTGCGAGGTCCCTCCACGCCACAAGTTGCTGCCGGTACGCGGCGATGGAGCCGCTGAAGACTGTCTTTCCGTCATTCCCGATCAGCGCCCCGACGGTGCCGGCGACGGCACCCGGCGGGGCGGTCGAGACATCGGGATTGCTGAAGAACCGGCCGCCCCAGTTGCCTTGGAGACGCGCTCCGTCCGTAGTGCCGTCCACCGGGCCCTGGAAGCGGGCGGGGTCCCGTATGCGGACGCCCTTCAACTTGGCTTGTCCGAACAGCGGCTGCCCGGTGGCCGTGTCGGTGCCGCTTGTGAGGACGCCCGAGACAAGTCCCTTCTTGAAGTCTCCCGTCAGCCTCACGTCGGCCCGGAAGTAACGGAACACGGGTGTCCCTTCCTCCGCGGCATACACGCCGGCGGCGTGGCCTCGGTAAGTCACCCTCGCCGTGAGAGCGCCGATGCGCTGGGGGTTGAACGGATTACTGCCGCTGGCCACCGCCGTGATGTGTGGCCTCCGGCGGTCGTGGGGGTCGTCCAGGTCGCCGAGCCAAAACCACACGCCCAGTGCGATGTAGTCGGTGTCGTCCTTGTCCTTGATGTCCGAAAGGAGAACGGACTGGTACCATCCTCCGGTGCGGTTGATCACGAAATATTCGACGCCCTTCCAGTTGATCAAGCCCGGCACCGAGGCAACGGCGATACGGTAACCCGGCACCCCGGGAGGTCTTGCCGTGCTGCCCCCGACCCGGGATGCGGGATTTCTGTAGTCGAACACCAAGCGGGGGCCCTGGTATCGCGCCCTGATGGCCCTGTTCTCGCGGATGGGTCTCCCGCGCCTGCGCCAGTTCCTCGAGGACTGGGTCACGCCGGCATTCAATGGAGCCCGTGAGAGGCGGTTGAAAACGGGTCTCCCGCCGGCCGCCCGTCTCATCTCTTCGACCACTCGGGCCCGGGCGGGCCCTGGGAGGCCGTTCAGGACCGTCACCATGCGGCTCGTGAAACCCCTTTCCGGGCTGCCGCCAGGGTTCGCGACGGCGACGCCTGTGAGGAGCGCCACCGAACATGCCACCCATAGGAAGGGGAGGATGGGGTTGTTTCTGAAGTTCATGGTCTCGTTGCGCGTTCCGCGAAGGGCTTCCGAGGATGGTGGAATTGACGCATACAACCCGGGACAAGTCAACGCCTGGAAAGACGCCGGCAGAGGGCTTTCGGGCGTTCTGGACCGGCCGGGTTTGCCGGGAACCAAAGCGACTTTGTTGACAAGCTTCATGGAGCGGGTTAATACCCGAATCATCCGGCGCGACTCGAAGCCGGCGTTCTCACGTACACAAACGTACACAACAATACGGGCCAACCAGGAGGTTCCGATGGCAAACAAGTATCAGATCATTGATGGCGACGGCCACGTCGTAGAGGACATGGAGGCCATCACGGCCCGGTTCCCGG